TTAATTGTCCTGTCCTCTGTGGCCTCCAAGGTGCCCACACCACACCTCTGATTCAGACGCACACAATTTGCTTATCTGTTCCCACTGGGATCAGCATTGGATTTTTACATCTTCTCAATCAACATGGTGTTGGAGACATAAATGTTTGCTGAACATTTGTTGAATGTGTTAGATTCTCTTCTCTCTTTGCAAGGACTTGGTAACTATTAATTTGCCCCCATTTTGAGTATCTCTGGATCACTGTGTAGCATTTGCTACTGTGCTGGCAATTCATTTCTGACTTCTGGCACCTTCTTTATCTGTGTTGGAAGATTTTCTGGGAGCATCTGAGCTGGTTTGCCTTGGTTTTCAGGTGTGCTCTTTGGTTTTGTATCATGTTCACATACACACAGGTATGTGTGTGTGTGTGTGTGTGTGTGTGTGTGTGTGTGTGTGTGTGTAAGAAAAATGATCTTTTCTATCAAAGTATTTGTTACCCTCTTAGATTACTTAAAAATTCCTCAGGTCACCATCTTAGGTGACTGGCATGGTTAAAGGGTCCTTGCTTCTTCTTCCAGATTTCTGTACAACTCCATTGCCCGCCAACTGTATTCCCTAACCCATCCCCCAAGCCTTTTAGCCAATCGGGAAAGACTGTGAACCTCTGACCTGGACAAATCCCAGGTGAGAGGCAGATACAACTGCGTCAGGGATGGAAGGAGGAGCCATGGTGGGTCATTTTGTGGTTGCGTGCTCACTTAGCAGGAGTGAGCCCATGCTTGCACCCTTTTGATCAAGAGAAGTTGCCTTGTCAAAATTTTGTCTCTTGTGTGTCTGTTTTCAGCACTGAAGGGTTATTAATTCCAACATGTGTGTGGCACTTGGGTTTGAACCCAGGGCACATGCTAAGCAAGTGATTAACCACTGGTCTATATACACTGTCTTGGTTTTCATCTTTTGCTGGCTCTTCTTCCTATGGCTGTTCTCTCTTCTCTCTCTCTCTCTCTCTCTCTCTCTCTCCCCCCCCCCTCAGGTGCTCTACTTGAATCATGCTCCCCATTTTGCTTTTGCTACTTTTTAGATAGGGTCTTCAGTTTTTTACCCATGCTGGTTTGGACCACAGTCCTACATATGCCATCCACATACTAGGTGACAAAGAGTAGTAAGTAGCAGTCATTTGTTTTGACATTTTTATCATTAGGAAGATGATGATATCAATGGTGACTTCCAAGAGGCAGATTTACACCAAGAGAAAGAAACAGTGCTGAGAGGCTGGGCTCTGCTCCTGCACCACCTCCACCCTGACCTCTGTGCCAACCACCCCACCTGTCATTCCACCCAGCACCTCCACCCTGTGTGCTATCTGTCAAGTGGACAACAATCCCATGGAAGTGCCGACAGTCCCGGCCCTACTGTGTGCTTTGAGCTCCTGGGACCACAGCTGCCTGAGGGGCAAGGGAAGCAGAGACCCAATATTTATGGGGTCCTTCCTGTGAGCACGGTTTTCCACATTTCTTTTCATTTGGCCCTGGCCTCCAGCCCTAAAAGGTCAGTCCAATTATCTCCATTTTATGGATGATGAAGCCAGCCTCAGAGAAGTGACAGGACTAGCCAAGCTCACACAGCTCCTAAGAGAGTAGCTAACAACACTAAAGACCTGGTCTTCCTCATGCATTACACTATGGTGCAAAAACTATAACACTCTTGACCTTTCCCAAATGTCTGAAACTCCTCCAAATCCAGGCCTTACCAATACTACAGAGTCAAATGTCAGTTGGGGGCAGCACCTCTGCCTGGAAGCCAGCCTGAGTTTCCCTCCAGGCTCTGGCCCAACACTGCTGGATTTTCTGCCAGAAGTACAGACCATTAGGGGCTTGCAGGGCCCATCCTGACCAAGCCAGGATTCCAAATGTGTCACGAAGGTGATTGTACTAGAAGCCTGGCTCTTCATGGGAAACACCCCTGGTGCTGTGGTAGGAACAACCAAACCTATGGTGACCCAAAGCTCATTTTTGCTTGTTTAGCAGGCAGCTCCTCAATGACTCACCGTTTGGGCCCTCATGACCCAGGCTGGGAGCTAGGGGTTGCCAGGAGGATCCCTTGTTAAAATCAAAAGGAACAGGTGAGCAAAGGGACCCCCCTCTCAGAACCTGTGACTCATGGCTGCTAGGAGACTCAGGCAGGTGGACTCACCTCTCTGGCCCCTGTCCTCCGATCCCTCTGCAGTGGGTGAATTCCCTAGGATGCAGAGACCCAGGAAGTGGAAGGGCGAGGCAGGAGGCAGGGCTATAACCCAATGCACAGCAGGATTTATAGGGCTTTACCCTCATGTTCAAACCTTTAATCCCAAATCACAGCCTAGGGAGCCCCATCACACAGTCCCCCACTCCCAACTCCAAGGACAAACCTCCCCAGGGACAGTCACCTCTGGCTGGTACAATTTGTGCAGTGATTCCTTCCTGTGAGCCCCAGCTCTGGCCAGTTCCTTGGTCCCCTGTCCCAAAAAAAAGAGGCTGACCCCAGACTCCAACTCATCACCTGAAACCTGAAGCAGAGTGTTTAAACTCAGGGCCACACCTTGACTTTTCATCATGGGCCCTGGGCACTTCTGCCTGCATGGACCTTTTGCACCATATCACAAAAACATAGTAAAAGTTAAATTTTACAACTGCATCAGTGTAAAAATAAATATAATCCATTAAAGGATTAAACTCATTCTTTTTCTGATTTTCTAAGAAATTAAAGCATTGTGGAGTGCTCCCCAAAGTCTCATGCATGCTAGGCAATGTACCTCCTTTGCCTGGTGGGTAAGTTGGCCCGGGTGAGTTTTGTGGACTTCCTGACCCAAATTTTGGCTCACGTTTACTTAGGTATAAGTGACATGGGATGGTCATAGCACACACACTGTGGGGTTATTGAAGGTTCGTTATGATCCCGCTTGTCAGGGGCTCGGTGGTGCTGGGTACATGTTCAGGGAGGGCTGGCTTGGTCGCATTTGAGTTTCCCATTCTCCCATGAGGGAGGCGAGGGAAGGTCCTGCTTAAGGCTACATAAGTGGTGGAACCAGGACACCCCAGCCACAGACCCAGCAGCTTCCAGGTTCTGAATGTTGATGGAAGTGGCCGGTCAAGTTATCCCAGTCACAGGTCAAGAGCAAGCAGAACAGGGAGGGGCATCTTACCTCCAGCTCTGTCCACACAAAGACAGACTTGTCACCTGTCACTGTGAGAACTTAGGTTTCTCTGCCTCTCAGGGTCTCAGTCACTGAATGAATAAAATAGGAAGGAGGGAATAAGATACCAAAAAGGAAAACAGGGCCTAGCCACTGGCACCCAGCTAGGTCCGGGGGAGCTAGGACAGTAATTCTGGAAAAGGTAGGTGATGAGAAGGGCAGGAAATGGGAGAAGGCCACAAGATGGCCCCCATGCCCACTCCTACACTGCCTGAAGCAGAGCCCATGGGACCCAGCTGGCCCCTCCTCCGCAGGGACTTAGCCAGTGTCAGACCTGGAAGAATCATTGCATCACTGGGCTCTCAAGGGTTAATGATGGGGAGTGGACAGGATCTGTGTATTTAACTAATTGGGAGGTGCTCTGAGATCAGAGGTCCCTGCTCATTTCCTCCCACTTCAGCAGGCTCCTCTGCCCCCTGCTCACCTCCCCCAAGATGCAACCTTCCCTGGTCCTGACCTTCCTTTGCCTCCTGGGTAAGTGACCTTCCTCCTTCCCCCATCCCATCTGGCAACTCCAAGCTCCCTGGATGCCCTCTGGGCCTGGCTCTGCAAAGGGCATGGTGAGTGCCAAATGCTGAAGGCCACCCCTCTTCCTACCACCCACCACGGTGATCCTGAAGCCAGCGGTGGCTAGAGGAGAGTGCAGTCTGAGAAAGGGTGGGGGTCATGGGACTGGGGCTGGTAGGGAACCCAGCAGCACACACAGGTGTGCTGCTTCCCACTTGGCTTCCATTTTTACCCCAACCTGCCTATATGGGCACTGCCCCTTGGCTGAGTCAGGAGGATCTGAAGCAATTCAGGGAGCCTTTGAGGTGGTCAGGAAACATGGCCAGTGGTGTCTGATGAGACTTGGAGGGACAGGGTGCTCCTGGGGAAGACAGGGGCTAAACCTGGAGAGGTCATGAGGATTCTTTCGGAGAGATTTGAAGAGCCACTAGGGAGCCCCTAGAAGGGGTGAGTGAGTGATACTCTGGGAGACAGTGGAGGGGAGTGGTGACATGGGGGTGGGCTCAGATGATAGGGGTGGGGTCTAGGGGATTAAAGTCCAAAGGATGCCATTGTAGGTATTATTACTTACTATTGTTGCTGTGTTGATAGCCAGGTGATTCAGGAAGGGAGCTTAACTGGATGATTGGAGAGATGTCAAGAATCAGAATAAGGGGACTTGAGGGGTGGTGCCGTGGGTGCAATACCCTCTGGCTCTGAGGGTCTGGTGGCTTCTGCTCTCCATCTCCACAGTGGCCCTGGCTGGCGGGAACCTGGTGCAATTTGGGGTAATGATCGAGAGGATGACAGGGAAGTCAGCACTACAGTACAATGACTACGGCTGCTACTGTGGTGTTGGCGGGTCCCACTGGCCGGTAGACCAGACCGACTGGTGAGGAGCCTGGGAGGGGGTCCCTCTGGGAAAAGGAGGACCTGGGGGAGTATTCTGGGAGGGGGAGGATTTGGAGGCACCTGGAGCGCAGGCACTGACTTCTCTCCTTTGAGCACCAGGCAGCCCCTGGTCCAGCTTAGTCTGGCTCGCAGTCCTTCCAGGTTGACCGTGACCCCACAGGTGCTGCCATGCCCATGACTGCTGCTATGGGCGCCTGGAGAAGTTGGGCTGTGAGCCCAAGCTGGAAAAGTATCTCTTCTCTGTTGGCAGGCACAGCATCTTCTGTGGTAGGTAGACAGCCCCAGGGTGTCTGGGATGTGGGCAGGGCAGGTGGCAGCTTAGGACAGGATCACAGTATCACAAAAAGACAATACAAAAGACAGGAACCCTCTGCTCATGGTGACCTTGGGCCCTGCAAGGGTCAGATCCTGAGCTGGAGCACAAGGCCTTCACATTGTCAGATAAGAGTGGAAAGGCGTATCATCTGTCTAGATGCTCACTGGATCAGAAAACCCCAAGGCCCACTCGGTGCAGCACTCAGCCTGCCTCAGCCCCTGGTGCCTCCTCCCTACTCAAGGCTCTGGGGGAGGGGGCAGAGGGGCCAAGTTGAGCCACACCCAGAGGACCTGGACTTACCCCTTCCCAGAGTGAGGTCACTACAATGGAGCCAGTGGGAGCTTTGACTTGGGATAACAGACCCCATTCCCAAAGGCTGATTCCCCCTAGTAGGGCTGTCAGGCTACATTTTCTCCACCTTGCCATGTTCAATGCCCATGTGGGCCAATTAGCTTCCCTCTGGTCCCCAGATGCCTCAGCTGGGGGGACTGCGGGGGGGGGGCGGGGAAGAGAGAGAGAATGCAAATCAGAGGACTAAGCCATCTCCCCACTGTAGGCGGAAGGAAGGTGTACAAAGAAGAACCTGAACAGAGGAGCAGACACAGCTCACATCTCAAAAGTCTGGCCTAGGTGGAGGGGGCAGAGCCAGGCCCAGGCCCACCAAGGCAGAGCTGGCTCAGTGTCTTGCTCCTGCAGGGGTCCACTCAGCAGGGCAGCTTTATTAGGCAGTGAGCTCCCCATCGCTAGGGGTTCACACAAGATTGGAACAGTCTGCTGTCAGGATGGCAATGAGATGATGAGTGAGGCAAGGTGTCCAGTGGGTGGAACATAGGCTCTTGTCAGAGCTTCACTTTCTACTTATCAGGGGACTTTGGCCAGGTGACAAAGCCTCTGCTATCTGTCTATTAAACAAAGATAATCACACCCACTTCCCCAGCTCAGGCTAGCTCTTGGCAAGACTCCCAAACAGGCTATCACACATCAAGCCTTGTCCACTTTGAGTCCTATTGAAATAAGTGTAGGCAGAGTCCTGGCAGGAAACCAGACCCTTCTGAACAGGGAGATGTATTCATGGGGACAAAAAGGAGCCAGAGCTCCTCTGGGCAAGTAGTTATAGTAGAGAGGCTTCCAGGCACCTGGTGCCAGCAGCATTGATGCCAGCCAGCTCTGGGCAGGTCAGGTCAGGTCAGTCTGATTCCCAGGCTTTGTGGGCTCTGTCCACTCTGAACAGGCCCCAGTTTAGACAAATGCCATTGGGGGCAGGCACAGGTCATGTGGAGTTGACTGTGGCATTTCATAGTTTCCCGCTTGGTGGCCCAGTGTACTGACACATAGGGGAAGGAGTTGTCTAGAAATGTCCCTGTCGGGACAAGTCAGAGACATTGAGCCCCAGTTCTCCCCGAGGTAGGGGAATGCTAAAGGCTGAGCGGGCTTGGGGGAGGAAGGAGGGATAGCAACGGCAAACTTCTGGCCTTCTCAGCATCCTGGACCCCAGCGGGCCCTCCCTTGACTCTTATCTGTCCCTGAAACATCCCTACAAACACGGGCTCCCATCAGAACAGGACTGAGACTGGGGTTGTGAACATGGACCTAAGAGCAGTCAGGAGCTGAGTGGTCATACTGAGCCTGCATCCACGGTGCTCACTTGCTTTGTCCCATCCAGCCGGCAGGACCGCTTGCCAGCGGCAGACCTGCGAGTGTGACAAGAGGGCTGCACTTTGCTTTCGTCGCAACCTGGGCACCTACAGCCGCAAGTATGCCCATTACCCCAACAAGCTGTGCACAGGACCCACCCCAGCCTGCTGAGTTCTACTCACCCCCTTGACAATCTGGGAAAGCCAGGCCTGGGGAACCTTGGAACCCAAGCAAGCCCATCCTTCTCTTCAGTGTTCCAAGGCCCTGGCCACCTGGGCCATACCTTTCCCCGGAGACCCCAGGGGACCCCTAGTACCCATCAGACTCACTAACCCACACCTGGGATCGCAGTTCCCCTTCTAATAAGTGAGTATTGTTTCCCTATAAATCTAATACTCTTTGATGCTCAGCTCTGTCCTCCTAGGATTTAATTAGTCACAGTTTCATTCATTCACTCTTATTTTGAGCACCTACCATGCTCTGGCACAGTGCTGAGTACTGTGCCACATGGGGACAGATATGACACAGTGGCCCCAGCTGGCAACGCCAACACTAAATTCTTTCAGTTTTCCACAACAGTAAGTTCCCCTAATCCTCTTTTTGAAAGTTCTACAGTCTTATCCAGGGCAATCTCTGGAAGGAATATTTCTGGCCAGATAGCTTAATGTGAGAAGAATGAAAAATACCAGCCTAAAAATATTGTCCCCGCTGTCATCAGGCCTCAAAACGCCTCTGGTGGCAATGACAGTTTTAGAGAAAAAAGTAGTTGTAAATCTATCTTATCCAACCTCCATTTTTGTTGACAGATAGGAATCTAGGGACCAGAGAGGGGTTGTTTTACCCAAGGGGTGCCCTCACTCCAGGCTTTCATCTTGCTTCAAGAAGTTGGCCTCAGCCATGTTTTCACCCCATTCTGGTGTGACCATGTTGACTAGACCCAATAGGTGTCACCTTGGAAAGACCAGATGTCCAGGGCAGGTCAGCTGTCAGCCCACTCAGCTGGACAGAGTAAGAAGAGGAGAAAAGAACTCAACATTATGGGACCATCAGAGGAATCCCTGACAAGGCCTTCAGCCTACTCTGGAATCAATGTCCTCCAGCAGATTTTACTCCTAACTATAGCTATAGCTCCACCAGCAATAATATGTGGATGGAATCCTACGGTTTCGGCAAGAGCCTATTCAATGACACAGTTGCACAGGGCAAATCTCAGGGGAAGTTCGGTAAACATTCAGTCCCTTCCTTCCTCTCATGGTGTGTGTACAAGTCAGGACTTTGAAGAGCATGAAGAAATCAAACGGATGCATTATTATGAACTTGAAAAGCTGAAGAGCTGTGCTTGCAAAAGAGAAGTGGGGGTCAGGTGTGCTTTACTGTTGACTGACTCCAATCACTGGAAGATCGTATCTTAAAAGCAAAAATAGTTTGTGTGGGGATGAGCTTGCTTTTCGTGTCAGGAAAAGTGGTCCTGAGGCGCCCTCTGGTGTCCTTTTATTCCAGACTAAGGAAGGAAGCATTTGGTTTATGCCTTATTTTGTCCCTTCATTGGGTGGGCAAAGTACACGTCCCTAGTCACATTTCTGGCTCACGTTTTCAGTAATAAGCGTGCTGCTAAGCGCCCAGAAGAGAAGGCCTTGCAGTCTTCGTCTCAGGACGATGGTGCCCCTGCAGGAAGGGGAAGTCAGGAAAGAGGAGCTAAAGTGGTGATCTGGGTGGGATGGAGAGGTTATCTTTGGGCATGATGGATTTAAGGTGCAGTGGGATGAGTACCTAGCGGCCTTACAGTTGTGAAACTGAAACTTAGGAGCAAGACCATGGTGCAGCCAGTTGTGACCCATCTCCTCAGAGCATGAGTAAGCCTTGTGGCCACACATGTGGTCATATCCTTTAGTTTCCCAGGGTCTCAATAAATACTCAATGAGTGAAGCAAGGAATCTGTCTCAGTTCCCTTTGTGTGTGTGTCTATAGTACAAACACTGGATTTCCAGATGTAGACTTGTGAATAGGACTGAAAAAGGAAAGGAGACCCTTGAACCTGAAGTCATAGGCTCCAGGTACAGACCTTGTTGTGCTTAGCAGCACTGGTGTGTCGTAGGGCCTCGCTGCACAGTGGGGTCCGTCGGCAGCAGCGGCAGTGCACTTTGCAATGTCACCTCTGGAGAACTGAATGGTTTATTACAGTTCATTCTTTCTATAAGTGTTTTTTGTTTGTTTTTACAAACTGTGATTTTGGCCTTTTACTGAATTTGAAGATAGAGAAAATTAGATATGGTCAACCGCAGACACACACCAATTACTTGTAACGGTAAATTCTATGCCAAAGCTAAGAAGTCTCAGAACCAAAGGTTTTCAGGCCCTCCATTCTCCATCGAGTCTCTCTTGTCCACTGGTACCTTGATTTCCTCCAGTGGCCTCCCATTGTCCACCAGCCCCTGGCTGGTACCATGTTTCCTGAGTCTTTTTTTCTGAGGGCACATCTATTTATCTATGCCCTCACTACTCCTAGGACATAGCCACTGCTTTCCTCAATCTAAAAGCTTTAGGCGCATCTCAAATTCTACCTTTGCCAACTGGAGCAGATTTTGCCTTCCTCTGAACTGCCAAGCAATGTGTTTGAGGCTTTCCGAATGGGACTTATCTATTATTTGGGTTCTTGTACAGTGGAAGCAGGTGGCCCTGGATTCAAATCCTGCCTCTGTTTCCAACTGGTGATCTTGAGGCAGTTATTAATTCCTTCATCTGTAAAGTAGGGTAAAACTACCAGCCCCCTGCAGTAGTTTTAAGGTTTAAGTAAGTATCTGGGATATTCTAGGCACTCCATGTATATTCAGTCACCTTCTGTACTTTTACCTTCCCCACAGCATTCATCACAGCAGAGATCCAAAATAAATCTCACTCACTTGAATCTATAGGTACCTGACAATTGGGACTAGGTGGGGGAAATGGCACCGATGATAAATACTACAGTAATTCATTTGAATAACTTATTGGCTCACTACCATCTGAGTGTTCCTCATTTATCTTAAATGGACACGTTTGAAAGCCATTAACCTTCAGTACCCTTGAGCTGATGGCCTCCAGAGGCAAATATGAAATTGGCTGCAGACAATAGCAGTTTTCCTGGAAGGCTGCAACCAATCATGTCGCCAGGTCAGAATGCACACACAGACCAGTTCCACCCAGGCTCCACCAGGCTGGGCTAAGCATGCCTAATGTTTAGAACTCATTCAGCAAGCATGGAGTTACCGTTACCCTTCAAGTGGCAAAGGCACATAAGAAGTGTTTTGAGGACAGTTTCCAGTCTTTCTCCAAAGTAACTGTGCAGGTGGCCCCAATGTATAACACATGTAAGCAAATGTAAATGCAATTAAAAAAATACTTATTCCACCTGTTGCTGAAATCTCTGTAGCTTTGAGCCAGGTCAATGTTCTCTACCTTCTCTGGAACTTTTACTTGATCCTATTCTCTTATCCATCACATTCCGATAGTTTGGGATATATTGCCTACAGTTTCTAGCTGTTCTATCTTCTGCTTTCACATTTAATTACTTTCTTTAATCACAATTTTGCTATGTTCACATATATACAAATTTCAATGAAAGCTATTGAATTAAAAAAAAAGTAACTGTGTGTGCTTAATAAACTCTATCCTAATACATGGGACTTCCTACTTGAGGGTTTTGCTTAAGCTGGTCCTTGGGTACAAAATGCCTTCACTCCCCACTTTTGCATTCTGGCTCTCCTGTCATGCCTAGTTCCAATGTCACCTCCTTCAACAAGTCTTCCTTGATTTCTGTGAATTCACATCTGTGAATCCAGAATCTTCCTTTAGGGCATGTTCTCTTGGGTCATACTTATATATCCACTTTTTCCCCCAACTAGAAGCTAGGATCCATGTCTGTTTTGATCCTCCCTTCCCCTTACCAAGTAAAAGGCATACACAGGAAAGGCTCAGTAAATGTGAGATGGATTCTTAGATGTTTGGGTGGGTGAATAAACTGAATAAAAAATGGAATGGCCAAGTCTCTCTACCATATGGAATGTCAGAGTTTTTCCAAGGTGGAAAATATTTCCTTCTGTCAATCCAGGATCTATGAAGTGGCAGGACTAGTCTTTTTCAAACAAAAAGTTCTAAACCTCTGCATCCCTATGGTCTGAGTGCCCATTCTGTCCAACCACCCAGTCAAAATATGATTGGAGCAGGGCATTTTGTGAATTATATTGGATAAGCCATGTGTATTGTTTATGTGCATTGAGGAGAAGGGAAGGGGAGAGATGTACAGGGAACAGTTGTCCCTGTGGTGGTGCCTGGCCAATGGGTAACTCTCAACTCCTGGTTTTTGAGCAGGCTTTCTCTGAGGCAATCATGAGCAGTTCCCAGAGGACACAAGCATAGCCACTTGTTCCTACCTGCCCTGAGAACGCTTCTCTGCCCTTAAAGACAGAGTCCTTGCAGGTTACCCACTCCAACTGCTGCCTAGGCAAGAAGCCTCCCTCACCCCAGGTAAGGATGCCTAGCTCAGCTGAATCCCTGACATGAAATTGAGGAAGCCATTTAAGTTTTGCAGAAGACAGCACCTAAACTGACATCAGGATTCTTCTGCTAAAACCTGAAAAAGTTACCATGGTCTGGAATCTGGCCTCTCCTGCCCAGAAATAAGTTAGTGCCTCCTGTCTACACAGAGAGACGACTGGACTCTGAGTTAGAGACTAAGAATGATCATGGGAGATTTCCCCTGCCAGTACCTGGAATATTCTCTTTCATTCTTTTGCTATCAAGGAACCCAGGAGCTAATTCAGAAAGCTGCTTGCCTAGTAGAAAATTAGGAACGAGAGAGTAGGAGTCAAGGCTAAAATCATAAGGATGGGTGAGGTCTGGTGAGCCAGTCCCAACTGCCAGTCCCACATGCAGATTGGGTCCCTGCTGAATGCACCAGCTCTCCTTCCTCTGGTTTCCTGTGGTCACCATTATCCCTTTCCCTGTGTTGAGCTCTTCTAGGTGAGTCTGTCCAGAGTCTGGGGCATGAGTGTCCTCCTGAATGGAGTATAAGCCAACTTTCAGAGTTCTAGAGGAGTACCAAGGTGCAAATGACAGACCAGCTGGTCATATTTATACAAATAAAGATTATCAGAGATGTTTTGAGGTACTGGGCAGAAATCTTAAGTGTTCAGGTCTTGATAATGGC